CAAGATCACCTGTCAGCCTCCTCTTGTGGAGGCTAAAGAGGTTCAGGTCTCTCAATCGGTCCACATAGGGTTTTTCTTCTGTAGGCTTTTAACCAGATGGGTGGCCTTCCTCTGAACCCTTCCAGGTTATCCACATCCCTCCTGAAGTGCGGCGACCAAAACTTGATGCAGTACTCCAGCTGCAGCCTGACCAATGCTGCATACAGGGGAAGTGTCACCTTCCTAGACCTGTTTGTGATGCACCTACTTATGCAAGAAAGTGCGGTTTGCTTTATTTATTACCTCATCACACCGGTGACTCGTTCGTTTTGGAGTCAATTATGACTCCAAGGTCCCTTTCCGCAGTTGTGCTGCTTAGAATGGTCCCTCCCAGTCTATAGGAGTGCTGATGATTCTTCCTCCCCAGGTGCAACACATGACACTTATCCTTGTTAAACTGCGTCCTATTCTGTTCCACCCACCTCCCCAGCCTGTTCAAATCCACTTGGATTTGCTCCTTGCCCTCTAGCATGTTTACCTCCCCCCATAGTTTTGTCGTCAGCAAACTTGGGCAGGGTGCTTACTACTCCCTCATCCAAGTCGCTAATAAAAATATTGAATAGTACCGGTCCCAGGACAGAGCCTTGGGGGACTCCGCTGCCTACAATTCTCCAGGTGTCAAAAACATTCAGACCTATTGTGGGTTTTCTGAGTTCTTTGCAACAGAAGAATTGCTCTTTTTTTTTCTGCTCTTTCTATTTTGTTAATGCTTTTCATCCCATCATAAAATTTATCATTGGGTCTTTGACTGTAGTTTGTATTACAATGAGTGTCAAACACTTCTAGGTACCATATGGTATCATTAATAGTGTGAGCTGAACCAACTGGGAAATGTAGTGCTCTAGCTATGGACAGTGGTTGTGGCTCAGTAGTTTGGGTGGAAGGAGAATCTAGTTCAAGGCATAAACAGTGCATATGCTGGGATAAAAATTTCAGATAGTTCTTGAGAAAGCAATTCTAACTGCATTTCTTCTCTCACAGGGACCTAGCAGCTCGGAACTGCTTGGTAGGAGAAAATCATGTGGTGAAGGTGGCTGATTTTGGCTTGAGTCGATTGATGACTGGAGATACCTACACAGCTCATGCTGGAGCTAAATTTCCTATCAAATGGACAGCTCCTGAGAGCCTGGCTTATAACACCTTCTCAATTAAATCAGATGTTTGGGGTAAGATGTGTTCAAAGTCCTCATCTCTGGTAGCCCAGAGAGCTTATAACACCTGATAAAGGGAGTTTGAGGAAGAGGGTGTGTGCTGATATCAGACCAGGTCACCCATCACAACACTCTGACTTCTCTTAGCATGTATATTCATGGGCGGATCCGGAGGAGGTGGTGGCATGGCCACAACTCCCTTTCTAACCATATGACAGGATCAGCAGCCAGGTACTTTAATTCCTAAAGAAGATAAAAATCCCCCCCTCCCCTCCCGTCCAGGCTCAGAGGCACGTCCTGTCACATTCACCCTTACTCCCTTTGCCCGTCTGTCTGCTATTGCTAGAGTTGCTGCTGTTGTGTTTTTCCTGTCCCAAGGGCAAAGGAGCTCTTGTCCTGCTCCCAGCTGGTCTGGGCAGGGGCTAGGTTCAGTCTGATACATTGGTGGCAACAGGTGGGTGGATTCTCTCTCCCTGTCTATTCCCAAGGAGCAGGCCCAGGGAGAGGGAACCCATCTGCCCATGGTACTGAGCCCAGCCTCTACTCTGCTTGGTTGAAGTGGCTCTGGAACTTCCTTCACCCCCAGGACAGTTGGATAGCAGCAGCAGGTAGGGGGTAGGGGACATGCCTTCAAGCAGGGAAGTCTGGGGGATGAGAATTCTTACCTGCTTTGGGGACTTGCAAAGTCCCTGACTGCAGCTTCTCTGGCATGGTCTGCCTGCTCCAGTGGGAGCCTAGAGGCTCAAAGCAGGGGATGTGGGCACCCTGCAGTGCCAGTTCCTGCTCCTACAGCCCCCACCCCTGTTTTGTAAAATACCACATATACTCCTGTGCGTCTTCTATCTCATCCCCTGAAGGCTGACATGAATATCTGCAGAAGCGACTACTTCAAGCTATGTACGAGACTGTGGTAGGACTCATCCCATGGAAGAAAAGAAGGGATAGATGAGAATTGTTTTTTTTTTTTTTCTTCTTCTTTGCAGCCTTTGGGGTGCTGTTGTGGGAAATTGCCACTTATGGGATGTCACCATACCCAGGTATTGACCTCTCACAGGTGTATGATCTGCTGGAGAAAGGATATAGGATGGAACAGCCAGAAGGATGTCCCCCAAAGGTTTATGAACTGATGAGAGCATGTGAGGATTTTCTTTTTTTTCCTCCTCCGTTTCATTTTGGGAAGGAAATGTAAGAATCTAGGATAGTGATGAGAATCCATAATTTACTGTGGAACCTTTTGTTTCTGATCTGCCCCTTCATGTTTAACTGATGTTGGTAATTTAAAATACTTTCACCGTCTGAAGGGTGTCTAGTGACCTGTGTAAAAAGTGTGATGTACACTAGATACTGGCTTGAAACTAAGCATTCAATTCTGAAAATCCCCATCACAATTAGGACTGTTAAATGACACCCTTTGGTCCCACCAGGAGAGGCCATGGCCTGAATGGTACTATAACCCTTAGAATAGTCCCATAGTTCAGTGGCAGAAACACCTTGGGCAACTATCATCTGGAAGCCTGGCCTATTTTGTTACATCTGCCTTCTCTATGGTTAACGGAGAGTTTTAATCTCCATGGCTGAGATGGCAAATAAGGAAATGTTACTTCTTTTTTAATTAAAAAAAAAAAAAAAAAAATAAGACTGCTGTTGCCCAAACCATAGACTGTCACAAAAAAGATAATGAAATGTAATGTAAATAATGTATTCTAAACAGGCCCAAACTTGGGTGTTTTGCCTGGGTATTGTTGTTTGGAAGAATTACAGGAAGAACAGATCCATTATCTGTGCGCTGTTGACATGCTGGCCGTGGAATAAGTGATCTTAGCAAAAACCTACTCAAATCCTCAGACTATTTCCCCTGCAAAAAAAAGACAAGCTGACTATCTGTAATTCCTGCT